TTCAACAAGAAGGCAGAGGGCGGCTTTGACGGGGTACACACTCATACTGCCTGATACGCCCAACCGTCCTAACCGTGCGCAGCGAACTGGAGTGTACGTCTCAGTCAGAAGAGTCGGTGATAGCCCAGGCGACTTCGTCGGCTCTCGTGTTTCGCCGAGTCGCCCGATCGGCGAGTTGGCGAAAACATAATTCTTTCCACGGATGCGTTGAATTAGCCAAGGTCGCCGCACACTGTGAATCACTAAAAGGAACATTACTAGAGTAATGTAGGAGTAGGAGGCCACTGAGCTTCTTTCAGTACAGTGTCAATAGGAATGAATTTTCCAGAACACTGTTCTCTCTGTCTACACCCAACCGAGGGTTCTAACAGCTGACTGCATCAAGAGTGTTCAAGCGAGGTGTATGACGAAATTCGGACCTGGAAGCAGTCTTCTTGACTCGCTCGATGATTGGGAGAGAAGTGGCTCAACAGTGTTCTATAAAGTGAGCTCATATTCGAGCTTGTTATTCTATTTGTCATCATTACAAGATCATTGCAAGATATTTACAATTCTCAGGTTCCCTCGAATGCCTACCATTTGGCTCCTCCCCCACTTCTTTATCAGAAACATGAAAATGGCCGGATTATACAGTCATCTCCTGACGAGCAGGTAATGTTCTCATGGTTCGTAAATCATTAGTAGTTACAATTTCGCTTTGTACAGGTGCTTTACGTAACCTACTGTGTTACTGGTTCTGATTGGCTATGCGTTGCTGTTACGGATTCGTTGGGTCGACTCAATGACAACTGCTTAATAAATTTGCGTACTAGGCATGATCATCAGTACGTTTTTGTCTTTTGTAGTTCTTTAGCTGGCTTACTGTTCGAAACCGCACTAAAGTTCTACTATACGTTCAGCATCTATAAATATCGCCAACAAACTCAAATACTGGACGCAATGGGACGATTGTGGACGTACATACTCGGCGTACTTTCGATGGAAACCCGTAACTGGAGGCTTGTCATTGGTAGGCTGGGACGTATTGGTCATGGAGAATTCAAAGGTGAGACCCGTTTCTTATTCATTTTGTGCTTGACCGACGGGGGACTCAATCAGGACCGATCATCGTTGATATCTTTTATTGAAAAGGTGGAGTCGTAGTTGGTTGCTGTGTGGGTAGGAGTCTTGAGCACGGGGCCAGCCGTATGTCCATCAGCCACTGGTGGAGAGTGGGGCCACGACAAGATTATAAGCTAAGAAAAACACGCGAGATACAGTGCTCCAAAAAACTGCTCTTCGGACAAATGTGTCATCTCCGTGAACGCTCCGGGGTGCGGCTAGGATTTTGCTTTCCACCTGGAGGGGCCCTAGACGGAGACTGAGTAGTTTGTGCATTCGCTGCTCAACGCACTCAGTTTTACGCGCAGTTTGAGGGTACAGTATACCGTTTGTTTTCCTGAACTACTACGCTAGTGTAGTTATTACACTAGACAACCAATGTGAAAAAAGGAGTTCTTCTGAACACTCTTCTGAAAAAGGGGTCGCTCTGACACGGCCTTTTTGCTCATCTCAGTTTTTCCTGGGCCCAAATTATACTGTGGTTTTATCTTGTCACCTGTACGGTCACTTAACATGATGCATTTTTTTCAGCGTGGACCTATCTTCTGAACAAAACGGCTCTTAAGCGTCACTCAGCTCGACTCAAGGAAGTATGTACCGCCTGTGCTCAAATGCCTGGTTGCACTGGAACACCTAGTATCCTGTCGGCTTGCCTTGTTTCCATGGAACCTGAACCGTATCTACGCATGTTCCCTGGTTTTACTTTGAATGACGCTTACAGGTAATCTTATGAGGCCGTCAGAGTGTCGTGAAAGGTTTCCCTAGCCACTGATTTTAGCAAAAAAGCTCGGCCGGCGGTACCAGATGATACGAACGTTACGCATATTATGGTTTTCCCGACCAGTGCAGATATTCAGGTGTGTATATTCCATTGTTTTACCTGTGATGCGTTCAATTCAAGTGCTTATACTCCCGTAAATTTTTGCTGCTATTTGTGTGCTCAAATTGGCTGTTTTCAGTTAGGTTCTGCCGATCAACATGCTGTTGGAGAAGATGACTGGGATTTCTCTGACATGGATATTCCACAGGATGGAAACGATCTCGGAGATGATTTTCTATCAAGTATTTGCATGGTCAGTTATGAACTAGTGGATGCATTTGAATCAAAATATTTTTTGTCACAAACATATTCAAGTATTCAAAGGGTGAGGATGACTGTGATTTAAGATATCCGTCATATTTCAGGACAACCTCGGTCCGCCACAGCCGAGTGCAAGCTTCCGTAACGCAGGAAATTCGTTCTTCTCTGAAAACACTGCAGGTATTTCATTTTCAGTGAAGCAGAAGTCAATTTCAACCGTCATTTGCTTGCGGTGTTTGGATCACATGTAAAAAAAGAATAGAGCAGTGATTCAGCGCAGATTGAGCATAGGCTTTCGAAAAAGCAGTCTAGTATACAAATTCTTCCAATTTTTTCATCAATTTTCATTCACTCGACTGCTCCCTGCAGGTCCGCAGATGTCGTTTACTTCATCCAAGGGGCACCTCGCTCGCTCGCACGCGAGCTTTTATTCCTGGCCTTTTGGCTTGACACAGCGCTTTGGCGTCAGATCAGTTAGGTCTTGACAGGTTACGTCCTGTACGCTTTATTTCACGGCCACTGTCGAAAATAACGGCAAATGCGTTATCAGGAATCAATCGATTGGTTAGTTTTCGAGATTAGGCTGTGAAATAAAGTCTGGGGTCAGAGTACAGCGTATGGACTGTAGAAATGGCAGTGTCGGACCCGTCTCAGAGTACCCATCAACCGCGAAGCCTCACTCCACTCCTTTATCCTTTTCTCATCCTCCTTTCTTCTTTTCTTCTGTTCCTTCTCTCTTCCCGCTTCCCTATTTTCCTCCCTTCGAAGCTTGGCCACCATATGCGATGGGAAAATACCTCTGGACTCTGGCAGCGAGAGAAGATCCGGTTGAAAGAAGCACTGTAGCCATGTCAGGCGACACTCGTGGTCTAGTACAATTTGAATTCAGTCCCCTTTTAACGCGCCAACTTTCTGTTTTTCTCTTCACTATCGTCCACATGAGGCTACGACTTGATTGCTGCGACTTAAACAATTCAGCGCTCCACTATAAGTGGTTCATCAATCTAGGAATCCTGAACCAGTGAAAATGTTCGTCCCCTCTTTGCGATATGTTTTTTTGCACCTTACTATGATGCCCTTGTAGCCGCAGTCCTCTATTTACTGCCAATTGTTTGAATGTAGATTGCCATGATGCGGTTGCCCGCAAATTGTAAAAAGGGCTGAATATTGCAGAGTTGACCGATTGTCACTTCTTTTATGATGGGGCACTTGTATGACTAGCTGTCGCTTAGAGAAGATTGAATTCAAGATTTGTGGTGAACTCGTAGTACTTCACTTTCAGACGTTTCAATGGAAAATCAACCATTAGCAACCGGTTTCTACATTTCTACTGCTCCTGCAGCAGACGTACCAGATTGGTTCTGGTCAAGTTGTCCTGGAGCAAAGAATCGGACACCAGTACATCTCAAATCGTCGCTTCATATTAATGTCCCTCTAGTCCATCAGGTAAGTTGTTAACTGTTATCTACTCTCGTCATTATCAAGAAAGTGCTTTTTCAAGGGAGACGAGTTTCTGCAAGGAAAAGCAGCCACTGGTGATAAGCAAGAGAAAGAAAGCGCACATCCTTTGGATAGCACACGAACGGACGAGGTATTGAGGTAAGAATTACTAGTTACTTATAAGTAAGTACAGTTCCGTTTTTCACGCTTTACGGACTCTTTTAAGGCATGTTCTGGAAACATACAACGCTCTATCGTGGCTGAATATAGATGTTGTATCTGGAGAGCGGCGAAGTTGTCTTCCCGTTCATATGCAAGCACTTACTCGATTGTATCATTCGGTCGCGAGACTTATCATGTAGCAAGATTATAAGTCCAGGAAATCAAAGAGTACACAGTACCCTGAAAATTGCGCGTGAAATTAAGTGTGTCGCGCCCTGAACGTTCACAACCGGGCATAAAGCAGGCTGCGGGGTGGGGCTGCCACTCGGGAGTAACTCGTCGGATACCACCAGGTGCTCCCACGCATAGCTCCGGATACCGTGTCGTGTGTGCTCTAACAAAACTCTTGATTTAGTCCCGCGGAAATCCCAGTTGTGTGCGTCTACTATCCGGCAGATTTGTTTTCACCGCAATTTTCGGGGGTACTGTATACACCCTGACTTCCTGAACGTGTAATCTTATTATCATGTAACTCGCCCTTTCCAAGTCATATCATTTGACTCAATATATTTTACGGTGTCTTTCAAGAACTCGTTCTAGTATGTGCTGACATCTTTCACCCACTTGGTTTTTCCCGTCACACAGGTGTGCTCTGGACCCGGTTGTACAGATTCGGTATTAATTAATTTGATATTTACACACCATTTCTGATATCGTTTAACTTTGGCCTTTTGCTACAAACATATGTACTGTGCATGCTGCTTTCATAGGCTGTGAGCAAGGCTCTTTCTTCATTACACTCATCTTGTTTTGATGTTATATGACGATCTCGGCCATATTATATTGAGTTATCCGAGAGGAATGAGAAATCATAGCAGTTTCTGTATAGTTGTCAAGCTTCCATACGTTGTAATGTTGTCACCGACCGTGCTAAGGACTCCGCTCAAAAGTAGTTTCAGACGGAAATACTGTCGTTAACCAGTTTTTCTTCTTTCAGTGTGTCTCTGTCTCCCCCAATCATTCTAACTCTCCCATCTCTCACACGCTGCTCGGTTACGGTACAAATCGTTCACTGTTTTTCTTAAGTTGGCATTGACGGGTTTGTTTTTATTTGTCTTACGTAGGTGCTTTTCTGAATATAACGCTGATGTAATATGCTGTTGTATATTTTGCATAAGATGTTAGCGGTACTGTATCTGTGATACTGGTACTGCACTGGGGTGCCCGGAGTCCGTGATCTGTCGGTCTTGAAGACGTGACGTTCGTATGATAGCAGGTTCAGTTTAGGTTATTTGCTTATTATTTATTCGTGTTTGATGTTCTTCGTAATATTCTATCATGAGAGCTAATGAAGAGTAATATTTCTTTTCGTGGCTGATATGTTGTGTTCGGTTTTAGCAGCAGTTTGGCCCAAATTCAGGAGTGATCTGTTTGGGTGTAATCACTTGGCGTGAACACCAATTAGGATGAGATTTTACAAACAACGATGCCGGACTTTTAAGTGGTAAAAGAAGGAGTGGTGAGTACGTCTTAGCAACCTTCTCCCTTCTACGGGACCTTTTGTTTCCTTCGTTTAGCAGTCATGCATAATTGAAGACAGTTCTCGCGACCAATTGACCGCGAAATGCCTTCAACCATTTGGCGTTCGGGTCCGTAATCGCAGAGAGTACCATTTTCGTCTCTCGAAGCGGCCAGATAAAGAAGCCACAGGCACTGCCCTCTATTCCTTTCACTCTGCAAAGCAACGACATACATGCAGAATTACGTATTTCGTGTGGCGTCGTAGAACGATTTCGCACTTTTGGAGTAAATCCCAAGCAGGATACGTTTAGACGCTGTTCAACACATTCGGACCGCCGTTGTACGAGGATCCGCATAATTTCGTCACTTTTAGAACCAGTGATCAGCAAGTTCATCTGTTTCTTCCAGTTTTCTATGAGATATTTGTACTCTACTCTCTGCCTAAATAAACGTGTTCTGGTACCTTCGGAGCATGAATAGGATGCAAAATGGACCGTATGAAGCGGTACAGGGAGAAAAAGGTATGACACACCATGTGTGTTACGCGGTAAGGAACGTGTTGAATTTAGCAGCGATGCATGTGATTTGAGGTAAAAGCTCGTCCTACATTGCTTACCGTACCCCCCTATTTTCCCAGACAGAGTTCGGAAGTTATTTCCTGTTCCTTTTTTTTCTTGATTTTGGCTGGCATTTAAAGACAGCTCCCGCGATAAAAGTCTCATGGATAGCTGCTTTCCAATTATGAAACAGTAGCTGATAAGTAATCTCCCAAAGAAGAAAACAGGCAAGAAGCGTCCTCCAGAACAACATAAACAAAATCGCTCCCTCACAGTCACACCTCCCTGCGGTCTCTGTGCAACCCCTAGCTCACAAATCTCTCTATCACATCTCGCAGTAGTTGATATCATCCAGTGCAAAAGAATACAAAAAGAAAACAAAATATGCAGAGGAAAACTCCTGGAAGGAAAAAGGAATTTTATCAACGCGGTGTCTGAATTTGGGATTACGGTAGCGCACGTTTTGTGCGTCGAGGTTTTGCATCACGAAAATTGCGTCACTCGTGCTTTTTACGCGAAATGAGTTGAATTGAATGTATATACCTCCAATGAGTAAACTGTAATAAAGGGGAGCAGAATTATCCATGGGCATTAGCAATGCCCGCCGCCCCAACTAAGAACAACTGAGTGGCCTCCGTCGGAGGACATCTAGCAAGTAAGGCGGTCCAACTGAGCAGGCGTTAGAACTAGAACTTACAGCGGCTGTAGCTCGCTTCTCGCTCGCTGTGCAGACGAAGAGGGACAGTCTCTAGCTTGGGGGCTGTACTACTTTCACAAGGAAGGACGACCATGTACTACTCGAGCGCGGGGGCTGTCTTTAATACCAGAAGATGCGATGAAACTACTTATGAGCTAGGAGTTGCACAGAAGAGGCCGCAGGGTGTCAAGCCGCCAACAAGTTTGCACAATGAGGCCGGGTGACTGTCAGGGAGGGGCTATGTTCGAGATGTTCTCAGTTTTTTTTGCTTCTATCTAAATCGTAAAGCCACCTATCGGCTGGTGGTTCATAATTGAATGCCGACTTCTCGTAATACTTGATCGCGGGAGTTGTCTTCAAAAATAGATTCCACGACAATCTGATAAATCCCTCTACCAATTCTCCTTACAAGATAGCGGTTGCTTATTGCAAACGTAGCACTTCTGCGGCTCTAAAAACAAATGCCGCGCGTTTATTTAAGCGCAGACGCTTTCTTTGAAAATGGTAATCTTCCACATGCATGGACCATGTACCACTTTCACAGCACAAAAATACATGAGGAAAGCGCGACCGGCTTGCGATCAGGCTATGGCTCCGCTGGCCGTCCAAATTAAATCCGTAAAGGTTTCCTGATGGTACGGCTGCTCTGCCTTTGGATCTCTCCATTTCGAACGGTGGATGTGTGGTGATACAAGGAGCTGGTACCAACAATTGCAAACTCGCCGGACACTCCCTTTCTCAGCCTTATGCACGTACTCATTCGAATTGGCATGGGCTTCCATATTAGGCATTTCGGGCTATTTTTCTTCACTTCTGCGGCTCAAATCATAATGAAAGGTTCGCCATCTTTTCACCAGCCGCACAGTATTTTGGAGCGCGGGGCTTCCTTTAGCACCTTGCTGTGACTGTTCTCATGGTACGACAGTGGTTTGGACTACTTAACCCTTAGTTCGCTTCATGCACCTTCCAGGCATCGCGATATTGATGAAACTGCTCATTTTCTCAGTAAAGCGTTTGGTTCCCGTACTGATGTCAGCCGACGTGAATCAGTAGCCTAGCTAGCGACTCCGTTAGGCAGCATTCAGACCTCGCGACGGCGGCGCTTCGGTCGCGATTGCACTAGCGTACGGCTGCGTCGATCGCTCGAGCGTACGATTGCTCGCGCATACATTCATCTCTATGTCGACTTTGGACGACTACTTTGCTTGCATTACTAATTTTTATGGTTTCAAGTAAAGTTTTGTGTGTTTTGTACTCCTTTAGAAATATTGTTAAGAGCTGAGACTATGCAAAACAATTTGATGAGGACAATCTTCCACTGAAGCACAACTACAATGATTTGTAAATGCGCTACAGGTAGTAGGCTCCACTGTATTATTATTGCATAAATAGGAACAATTTTTTAAATGCTTCACTACTACTTACACTATAAATATATTATCCACAAACAAAGTTATCCGATAAAACATGTACAAATTCAAAAATAATAAAGTTATGTAAAGCAAATAATTACAAATATGAAAATTCACATCACAAATCACTGCTAAATCACTGGAATAAATATTGACCAATAAATTAAGAGAACCATGCACAACTCACAATACACGAGTCTACCAGCTATAAACACTAGCTCAGAACGGCCGAGCAGGAACAAATGGCCGAGCTGGAACTTGAGGCGCTGTGCCATTACTTGGCGTGGGAGCCCGTCTGAAAGCATGAGATAAATTAGCTTGATGTGGTTTATGAAAGCCGTCCCCATCACAAACTGAGCCAAGGTCGCTGCACGTGGTAAGTCCGTGGTTGCAGACTAACCAACCTACAACCTTGTTTGCTGCAGGTGAAGGTGTGTGTCAGTGAGGCTGGACTTGGCGCGCCGCCAACCGTGCTTATCGCTTTTCCTTGACACGCCCCCACCATCCGCAGCGAACAAGACTGTAGCGAAGTCTTCCCACCCATGAGCGCTCGATGCCTGAAATGGCACCCATTATAACCGGGATTAATCTGCTGTTCTCAATTCTCGAGAACTATAGACATACCTGAAACAAGGCAGGATAAGTGAACACTGTATCATATACCATGAATGTGCCAATACAAGGCCCCAAAAAGCCCTACTTCTTTTGAACCTCCTTTATTCGTGGGTCGTCAAGCGGGGGCGGCGCTGTTACGTGTGAGGAACCCGGCTCAGTTTGTGAAGAGAGCGTGAAGGCGGAACAACTTCTACGTGAACGCAAAACACACAACATCGCAAACCTTAACAAAATTAAGAACGGGGATAAAACAGGGAAAGGAAATCGAACTCGAGAAAAAGAGCAGGTTTTCGTTCGCATTCGCTTTCTAATTCAAAATTCTAGAG